CGACAGGTTCCGCCGCTCTTCAGTTGATCGACGGCCGACACTCCGTTTGTTGCTATCACTGCAAAACTGCTACTGTTATCCAACTTTTCGTTTACCAGCCACAGGTTCGCCCAAATAAACAGTTTGATCTCAGTATACAGTCTCCCGTCTTCGGCCACGTCACGCCCCCGTGACATCTGATGGAGGTGCCATTTCGTTCATGTACCGGACTCCCTCATCAAGCCGCGAACCCAGCCCATGTCGCGGAAAAGACGATTACGCCAGTCACGAATAGTGAACAAGCCGCAGGCAGCAAGGTATACCACCGGAGTATGGGCCTCTACAAGACAAGGCTTGGAAGACCAAGGCCATGATCTCGACTGCGGCGACAAGGACAACCACTGCGTCACAGCCCACGATAGTCATGCATCAGCCAAGGGAGCCACCGACTTTTTGTGGGTCATCGTTTGAAGACCCAGAGACCTGGCTGGAGACCTGCGACCACGTTGCCGCCCTTGACTACTGGGACACAGAAGAGAAGTTCTGTCACGTGTACTTCTACCTGAAAGACGCCGCAAGGACCTGGCTCGAAAATCGGGAGTCTGCTCTTCAAACCTGGAAGCTCTTCTGCCCCGCATTCCTGCAAACGTTTACGAGCGTCGCTTGCAAAGAGAGGGCCGCTGCTTAGCTGGAGACCTGCGTGCCGCTACCAAATGAAAATGTGACCATTTTCACTGAAGTAATGACCCGCCTGTTCTATCTAACTGACCCAGACATGCCTGAGGAAAAGAAAGTTCGTTTCCTCATGCGAGGGGTCAAATAGGAGCTCTTCGCGGGATTGAAAAGAAACTTACCGAAAACTGTTCACGAATTTCTCTCAGAAGCGACTACGATTAAGAAGACACTGGAGATGTGCACTCGTCAGTTCAATCGCCGCTCGATGCCAGAGTACGTAGGCGTTCAGCCAATCTGCTCCGACGACTTGCGTGAGACTATCCGAGCGATCGTGCAGGAGAAGCTGCGCAAGCTGTTACCATCGGCGCAGCCCCAAGTCGATTTAATCGCCAACATTGTTCGCGAGGAAGTTCAGCAATTGCTTCAAGTTTCCGAAGAACCGCTGCCTCAGCCAGAAGCTATGAGTTACGCCTCTGCAGTTTGCCACAACGCTCCTCCATGCCCGCGACAAGGCACTGCCCTACCGCAATGTCGCTGCCAGCCACTGCCGCCGACATATTATCCACCCGCTAACCAGCGGACCGTCCCAAGAAAAACTGATGTGTGGCATACCGCCGACCACGGACTCCTCTGCTACCACTGCGGAAAAGCTGGCCACTTCTACCACCGCTGCCAGTACCGACAATGGACTGCGTCAACATTACTGCAAAAGGCTGGGGGGAGGAGGTGTGACATGAAATGGTGCACAAGCTGGTAAAAAAAAGTTTACAATGAATACAAGCATCGTGCCAGCGTCAACACACATCACAACTTCAGGCGCACGTTTTTAGAATAAGCGTCATGGCTGTCAACGACGAAAGAAACAAAAACAAAAAAAGTGAAGGGATAGGAGATTGCATGCGGCTGGGTTCCCACCGACGGGGAGAACTATCACAACACGTAAGAAGTGTATGCCGCCACAGTAGTTTCCCATGACTGATACCAACGGGTGCGGTTACGCGAAACATATAAGCAAACTTCGGAGCAACAGGGTCTGTATATGGACAAAATTTTAGTAGGCGCGTTGCTTATAAATGTACTCTGTCGTCCTCTATGAAAGGGAACACAGCAGCGCGTGGCTGGTGCTCTGCGGGGGTTGCCTACAGCTCCATCAACCAACAATGAAAGAAAACACTTCGCTTTCGACGTCATCTATCGGCGAACAGAATAACCAGTCATGGCCAACAAACAAGCGCAGCTGGATTACGCTCTCGCTATGATAGCACAACCGGCGATGCCTGCAGCGCATCGTCTGCTGCAAACAAATCAAACGTGATGCGCAGACGACACCCGGCACAAATAACCAGTCACGGCCAGCCTTGCGAGCGCGCCCCTCGATACCGGCCGTGACTTGTTCGCCAATAGATGACGCCGAAAGCCAACGTGTTTTCTATCGCTGCCGGTTGATGCCGCTGTAGGCGGCCGGCGCTCTGCGGCGGCCACGCGCTCCCTTGCTCCTTTTCATAAAGGAAGACTGAGTACCTTGCTTGTAATCAGTCAAAACACTTAAAAAAAAACTGCTGTATTGTTAAATTCGAGACTGTCATTTACTGATGTTCAAAATTGGAAAAGCAGTGTGTCAATGGAAATGTGCCCTATTCTTGGGAAAATATGCAATTCTATTCCCATTCCATTTCGTGCAAAAGGTGCTCAATTCCAATCCCGTTTCATTATTTGGTCGCAAAAATGTGGAATGATTCTGAAGTGGCAACTCTGCAACACTGCTGTACACATTTCGCGGTCTCGACTTGAGCGTAAAAGAAAGCTGTCGACTTGACAGGTACGTTACCGTCTATTCCATAGCATGTAGTTGAAGCAGTATTGCAAGCGTATCATGGATGAAAGCGTCACTGAAATCACCCTTGTTTGCACGAATAACAACTGCCCGTGTGCATTTGTTATACGAGACGATCTACCGTTATGACTTGTTGCTACTGTGTATTCTTTATCTCGTGCATTTGTATATCGTGCCCAAGAGACTTACTGAACTGGGTTGGTCGTTGTTTCAGTAGGTAAAAAATTGGAAATTACACTTGTGACCTAGACAGCCACAATGGCGACAGCATTTCGCAGACAAGTCCCGTTCCCGCCATTACGATACCTCATTTTGAGAGCTACGTGCCAGTGTGACTTATGTTGATTTTAGAGCTCCTCTCACAGTCACTGCTATTTCCTCTGTTGCGGCTACCGCTTGTGAACATGAGTGAGGTGCCGTGACGAGTGATATTTGAAGGCTGCTTTTGCACCTGCTATGGCAGTTACCACATGATCATGAAGGGCGGTGGTGAGCTTTGTGCCGGGACGACAGGGCGGAGCCAATGCAGCGGGACGCTGTTTGCAAATATACAGTTAGCCTATAGGTGAGTAGGAGCCTGGGGCGTACAATTGAAGTCACAGATTCAGTCCTTGCCTCGGCAAGCTGTCTTTTTGTCCGCTTTACTTCCTTCACATTTATATCACAAATATTACAATGCACCTAAAACAGTAAAATTGATGTTCGCTATACCTTCCTCTGCTTCTTGTCTGCTAGTTTTCATGGAGGTTGTGTCAAAAAAATGAGCCCTCAAGATATTATCTTTCGTTTAAATAGGTGACCCTTGTGATGGCACATCTTTTAAACATGATACATATTTCTTGTGCCTTGCCGCGGTGGTCTAGTGGCTAAGGTACTCGGCTGTTGACCTGCAGGTCACGGGATCAAATCCCGGCTGCGGCGGCTGCATTTTCGATCAAGGCGGAAATGTTGTAGGCCCGTGTGCTCAGGTTTGGGTGCACGTTAAACAACCCCTGGTGGTCGAAATTTCCAGGGCCCTCCACTACGGGGCTTCACATGATCATATGGTCGTTTTGGGACATTAAATCCCACATATCATACCATATTTCTTGTGTAATCCTCCCATCGGAATCGTCTGAAATATCATTCCAAGTTTTTTTTTTAAAGATCCCAGCACATTAACATATGAATGAACAGAGATGGAGAATGGAAAAGAAAGGACAAGGCTTGCGTTAGCAAAATGAAAAGTGACACGCTGAAGGCATACCAATATTAGAAGTGTTAAAAGCTCTGGACGATTCATGCAAACCGTGCACAAAGGGACGTTGACCTACTACATAAAGCACTTTTGGTCTGACTCGTTGGCTGTTCTGAGAAAGATAACCTGAGGCCGTCGTTAATAGCAGGCTTTCATATCAAACATGGTAAAGAACATATAAGCCATAATTTTATTAAGTCAGTTGCATTAAAGTTCATCAGAGCAAAATCTAGCAGATCTGAAAGCACACTTTTTGGTGAAATGGACCTGAGTGGCTCGTGAGAAAACATTCTAAGAAATGAAAATTTTGCATGTGACAACCAAGGAAACACTTGTTTTGTTGAACCTATCTCTCATTAACAATCTCGCCAATGGTATGACCATCACTGCCTGAGTATTTTGCTTCATTCAAAACATAAGCAATTGCTCGCAATAAGAGGACCACTGTTATTGAGTGAGACATAAAGAGTAGAAAATTTTACATCTCTAGATCACAAGAAATTGCATGTGATTGAGATTATGCCTCTGATGTTACTTTTATGTTCTTACAGATAAAGACGACCTTATCAGAGTTGGCAGAAGGCTGCAAAATTCAAATTTCGTGAATAGCAGGAAACATTCTATTGTTCTCCTGGCAGTGCACTTATTTGAGAGTGATAGAAAGAGTACACGAGCACATTCTATGCTCTGGTATTTATGACACACACAAAACTACTGAATAATTAGAAGTTGACAGAAAGTGAAAAAGATTACTGGCTGCTGTAGACTATGTAGAATATATACAGAGAAGCCCATGAGTGAACCATTAGCACTTCTAGGAGGCATCGTGCTTACCATGAAAAAGAAATTTTTACAGCTTTTTTTGGACCTGGCTGTGATCGAAGAGACATTTCTGGACTGTGACAATCATGTTCATCTGTGTCTCTTGTGAAAGCCAGACAGACAGAAAGTATGAATGACCGTGCAACACCTCTACCTCTTAAATACTTTAAGCTAACCACTTTTTATTTTTATAAAAAATCAATACCATTGTTACTGAGAATGTTTTCACGATAATGAAATCAGCCACCGACACTGTGCTTTACTTTACTTACATAGTTGGTCCCTTTCACAGCGAAGTTTTTGAAAAGGCGAGTGAACAACTCCAGTGGCCTTTAAACCAAAACTTCAGATTCCCTGCTCTATGAATTGCAATAATAGTTGGTTCACTTGTTTAGAAGAGCCCTGATGGGCAATATATTTAGATGCTTAAAAGGGTCTTTTTCATTCCAACAGGCAGACGTAACCATGATGGACATGTTGGGTAACAACAGCCTGCACCTGGCAGCACAAGCAGGTGCGGCCTCAGCAGTTTTGTCACTTGTTGAGAAATATGGGCTAGACATCAACAGCATCAACACCTGGGGACAGACTCCGCTGCATTTGTCTGCCAAGGCAGGTTTATGCTAGAAAAGTGTCTTTTGCATCAAAGATCTAATTTGCGCATATTTTCTAGGCGGGCCAAGATGACGTGGTTCAACTGCTAATTGTTCTGGGTGCTGTATGCAGTGTCAGAGATAAGAAAGGTCGCACAGGTAAGCCGGCTTGCTGTCATCTGTGCACAAAGCTGTAATTTTCCATAGCAAGGAATAGTCTGTCTTAAATTATGTTATTAATTGCAAAGCATTTCTTAGTGAACCAAAGGTGCTTCGAACATTTCTGTCTGTCTGTATAGATAGATAGCTAGCTGTCTAGGGCTGGGTGCTCTCGTGGTGGCTTTCTTAACATAGTGTAAACCAAAATTGATAGGTTAGGTAAGTTGGGGGGGCGGGTATGTAGGTTAGGTTAGGCAGGGCAGGCCAAAATTGTTATGGGCAGTTTGGGTAGTTTCATGAAGATAACCGTTTACTCAGTACATGAATAACATGAAAATTCTGTCATACACATCATCCCCTTTTCTCCAGATATGTGTGGGAATATACTGTATGTCGTGGTATGCCTCACTGGTGATTGACAGTTTCATGTCTACCCAGGAACAGTGAGAACCTACGCAATTTAAATGGGAGAGGATTAAGAAAAATATTCACAGCATATCCACAGAGTGAATGATGATCAGTGGGGTGAAGCTTCGCGGGCTCTTGGCTCGAGATCCGCCTGCCTTTGTGCGCTCTTCACCACTACCTCTCGGGCTCTCAGCTTGAGATCTGCTTGCCTTTGCGCACGTTTCACAGCTGTTGAAATGTCCCTTGCCGTTTCTGGATCCTCTTGCCGGTGCACCTGTGCAGCTTCGGCTTCGCGGGCTTCCACTTTCAGGTCTTGACGGCGTGCGCGTGCTGCAGCCGCTTTTCGAGCCCTTTGATTCGCCGCCGTGTCTTCGTCCCTCATTGTGAGGCGCACAAGTGCAGTGACTGCCAGCGAAAGCGCCAAGCATGCGTCTCCAACATGATAGAGTTACTGTATATGCTAGCTTTAGGTAGCCGAGTTGCGCCACTGTTTTCCGGGCGCTGCTCACTCCGCCTGCAAGAGTTCAGTGCCCCTATTTGCCGAGCTCCATCACGTGGTCATAGGTGGTTCATTTGCACTGCGGAGAAGCCAACGTTATACAGACCAAGCAAGGTTGACAGCGACTGTTGTCATTTTCGCCGCGCTTCTTCAGTAATGTAGCCATGCTGCCTGGTGGCCACGAGAAATGCAGCAGCAAATGCATTCTGTGTTCTGTTGTACTACGTAGAGCCCATGCGAATAGACGCGGGTGCAGCGGGTGTTGCTATAGAAAGATTAGTGTTCAGTCAGAAGGAATAAACGCTTGGCCATTGTCGTCGGCAGGATTTTCTGTTGGGGTGCAAATCATTGTTGCATTGCAGCTTAGGGAGAGCGAGAGCACTGGTCTAGCTTAAGTGAGGGCAAGTGCTGATGTGGCTTGAGGCGGGCAAGGGCCACTTTTCCACTTCCCTCTGACGCCCATGCACTTGACTTTTTTTTTAATCTGTCCATGGCACTGCAAAACTTGCTCTATTTTCATTAACTGCAGATGCATTAGTGAATAAATACGTTATACATGCAGAGTTGGGCAGCGTGTGTCAGCTGCATACGTCCAAATTAGTCTGGCGGTTAAAACGCTAAAAATAAAGGTAGAACTTACTCTAGAACTATTTGAATCGACAAGGTGTTGCTGCTAGTGCGTGAATTTAATGCAGCTTTGAATCCTTAAACGAAAAGACCATTGGACATGACTGGGTTGTTGAACGACGATTCACATCAATTATCGTGAGCCACGATTTTAATACGATCGTAATACAATATGTGCGCTTAAAGCAAGCGTCGCACGGCCACTCTCGATCGCTATCTAGCTCGATTCAGTTGAAGGCTACACAGCTTTAGCTGGTTAACTCACACAGTTAACAAATGAGCCCAACGCGATAAAAATGTTCCATCCCTGGTTCGCTAGTGTTCAAGAGTGAAAAATAATTTTATATATGTTAATGGGGAAAACAGTGCAAAAGAAGCTGAAGCTAATGTGTGGCCTACTATAAATATACATATGTACCACTGGTTCAATGAGCTGACACACGTTTTTTCACTATTACTTACAAAAGACATAAGCATAAAATCAAGGCTTTCAGGCGTGACCAGAGCAACTGAGTTTGTCTCGTACCTTCATGAAACATAGAAAGTAAGCAAAAAAAATAATAAAGCAACGCTATAAGCACGAGTGCTGCTCCTATGCGGGTGGTGAGTGGCTTTCCCGCAAGACATTTGAACCCAAGATGGCGTACCTTGGCGCAACTCTGCTATTTAAAGGTAGCATATACAGTAACTCTACAACGCGAGTGCCCTCAGCGTCATCTAATAAGCAATTCGAGTATTAGCGGAGCGAGCGCCACAGTGCCATATAGTGAGCACTCTGCGTATTAAGGTGGCTACGACAACGATGATTAACATGTCGGCGATGGTGAAAACCTGTCGAGTGTCCATATAATTCCTATCGTACATTTTGTTCGCTTAATTGCCGGGCAATGGCACCACAGCGCATCTAAATTTCCTCGTGGTTCTCATGTCGGCTGTGTCATTCAATTACCGGAACATAAGTTTTAAATTTTTCATACAGCCCGATTGGTTTAGTATGAAGATAGCTTTTCTTACATTAACCCATCTTTAGTATTCAGTTGCTGTTCATGTTGGATGTGGTGTCTTAATCACATTTTGAACATCGCAACGTTTTAACAATAAACTTTTTTCTTTCATGTGGGGTCTAGTAGCTGTTCAGAGTGCCACTTATGTTTTCTCCGAGTTGCTGTGCTTTCAGCTTTAATGTTGTAAGGCTTAATATATATCAATTTGAGGAAAGTCTGGTCGCTTGATCAGCACTGCATGCTTAGAAGACTCACTGAAATTTTTGTGTTTACCAGAAAGCAAAAATTTTAATTAACAGCTATGTGTGACCCGAGAAATCTGCTCCAAAACAAATTTTGATGCTTAAAAACACCCCTTTTGGTGCTCCAGAGATGCTCCAAAACTCCCTTACTGCGCCAAAGCTGCTCCAAAAAGACTGGAGCCCGCTTCCACCCCTGAGTGTGCATAATTTACACAATATTCCATTTTACTGTTTGAGGCCCTGTGATCCCTTGTTTTATTACCGTTTATGAATGTGTTAATTAAGTAATTGGCCATTTGGATGCAGATTCCCTTCCAAGTTGCTGAAAACATACAGCGGTTCCTGTCGTCTTTGCCAAAAGGGCCATATACAAAGCATCTGAAGGACTCGTCACAGGCGTATTCAGAAGGGGAAATTTCGCAGCATGAACATTCTTATGGGGCTAATAAGCACTCAGTATCTGGACGCAATATGTTTAAGGGGGGACGCGGCCTTTGAAAACCAAAAAATCGCGAAAAAGTCGGTTTTTGAAAAACCACATTTTTGGGTTGTATGTCTCATAAACTACCTATTCTGTAATTATCAGCACCTAATTCAACCGCAAAGTGCAAAAAAAAATACTATTTTCGAGGCCGCAAATCTCGAAATCAAACCAAACTTCGCGCGCGCGCCATTCCCGGACCATGCGGTTGTCCCGCGCCATCTTGGTGTTGTTTTGACCGTGAATTCTTTCTCTCTCGTTCGCCGCCTTGCAAAATGGCATCGGCAGCACAGTTGAGATGCTATTGGCGTTTTCCCGCGACGCGATGCGGAGCGCTGATTGGCTAGAGCAGCGCATTCATATCTTGCGGGAGAAAGCGTGCCCGCCATTGGCTGCTGTGCAGCAGCGGGGGCGGTCGCTCCTCTCGATGGCGCGTCCAGCGCGCTCGCTTCTTTGTTGCTCTCTGCTCCGTCCGCCTCGACAGACGGCTGCTTACGAGCCGCTCTTCACCTTGTGCTATCTTTTCGATCATTTTCTCTCGTTTTTTTTTTCTTTTTGCACTAGTTCTGTGCCTTTCGTCTTTGTTGTTGCGGGCGATGCCGGCAACGAAGCCGAAGTCAGTGCGGAAGTCCGGTGCGCGGAGGCGCGCTATGCGGCTTGTACGATCATCAAAATTCCGCTATTCTGCTGCGGGTGCCGACTGCGTAGACGCTTGCAGCGACGGAACTGTGTTGTCAGCTGTCGCCAGTCGAGAATCCGACACATCGAGTGTGGCTGGAGCCGCAAATGCACCGATTGTTTCCGAGATCGCCGGGCTCGACACGTGCTCCGAATCGATGCCATCCAGTGTGACACCGAGTGCTTCTGATATCGCCGGACCCAGCACTTCGTCTGAATCGGTGCCATCGAGCGTGACACCGAGTGCTTCTGATATCGCCGGACCCAGCACTTCGTCTGAATCGGTGCCGCCATCGAGCGTGAGTGGACCGTCGCTTCATCTGCGGACGCGTTTCCTACCGAAGGAAGAAATCGATGCGAATGCGAAACGTCGTGACGCCGTTCGCGCTGAACTCGAGTCTACGCCGGCGACGCAGAAGAAATTTCAACTGATGCAGCCGGCTCTTGCACCTGCAGTGACAAGTGAGGGCACACATTTTTCGCTCGTTCAAATGAACATCTTTAACGTCGTGCTCAGCCGCACAGTGTGCAAAGAATGTTTGAAAGGTGCTATGACTGTCCGAGAGAGCACCAAGCTTGGACTTGCAACAGAACTTGAAGTCGTGTGTGCCTCTTGTGGCACTGTCGATAAATTATGGACATCACCCCGCAAAAAGGACTCGCAGGCCTTCGATGTAAATGTCCGCGCCGTAATGGCTATAAAGCAAATAGGCAAGGGGCAAACAGCTCTTAATGACTTTTGGGCTGCCATGAACGTCTCTTACAGAGGTCTTCACCACAAGACGTTTCAAAAAGCACTTGAAAGAGACGTTCAGGAAGCCAGAGGCCACTGCTTTGGAGAAGTTTTATGCTGATTCTGCCACAGCAGTGATCAAAACATATGAAGAAATGGACCCCAGCTTCTGCAAGGACATCACCGTAGTGTACGATGGCACATGGCATAAGCGGGGTCACACATCACACATCGGAGTGGGATCGGTAATTGACTTCTTTACAGGTCTCATCTTGGATGCTGTAGTTCTTTCAAACCACTGCCTTGGATGCCAAACAGGGCCCAAACC